GGGGGTACGATCGATGACGACGAGGGCGGGTACCGTATCGGATATATGTATTGATTGGCACGTGAACAGAGGAGCGAACAGTCTTGCACTTGTTGTTGTTGTTGTTGCTGCTGCTGCTGCTGTTGTTGTTGAGCTCTCATTTCTGAAGAACAATTATTGTTGATCCCCCCTCACCGGTGCACACTGTTTTTCTCAATCAAAGTGTGCCCCTCGACGCTCGCACCCTGTTTTTTGACAGGGAAAGTCTTGATGCTCAAACTGCGCCCGTGGCCCGGGGTTACAACAACAACGGCTCCCGCATTAGAATTCCTCACGATTGAGCCAGGACCCCCACTCTCGCCCGAGACTTCCTCGCATTTTATTCAGGAATCGCGCTCTCGCTTGGGACTTCCTCACAGTTTATCCAGGAATCGCTCTCCCGGCGCTCTGGAGTCGCGCTCTCGCTGGAGACTTGCTCGCAATTTACTGACGAATAGCGCCCTTGCGTTGGAATTTCCTGCAATTGACTCGAGCGCCGCGCTCCCGACACCCCGGCAACCAGAAGTCGCGCTCACGCTTAGGACTCCCTCACAGATTACCCAGGAATCGGGATCTCGCTGCCCTTCGTGGCCCCGTTGCAGCCCTTCGTGGCCCCCTCGCTTTGTTTCGTGGGGCCCCGTTGCAGCCCTTCGTGGCCCCCTCGCTTTGTTTCGTGGCCCCGTTGCAGTCCCTCGTGGCCTCCTCGCTGCCCTTCGTGGCCCCGTTGCAGCCCTTCGTGGCCCTCTCGCTCCCCTTCGTGGCCCCGTTGCTGCCCTTCGTGGCCCTCTCGCTGCCCTTCGTGGCCCCGTTGCAGCCCTTCGTGGCCCCGTTGCAGCCCTTCGTGGCCCCCTCGCTCCCCTTCGTGGCCCCGTTGCAGCCCTTCGTGGCCCCCTCGCTGCCCTTCGTGGCCCCATATATGTATGCCCTTCGTGGCCCCCGCTCGTTCGCGCCCGTGGTGGCCCCATATGCATGCCATTCGTGGCCCCGCTGTCGCCGTTTGTGGCCCCCTCGCTGCCCTTCGTGGCCCCGTCCTTGGCCTCCGCGGCCCAACATACGTATGCCCTTCGTGGCCTCCGCTCGTTCGCGCCCGTTGTGGCACCATGTACGTGCCCTTCGCGGCCCCGCTGTCGCCGTTTGTGGCCCCCTCACTGTCCTACGTTGCCCAGTTGCTACCCCCAGTGGCCCCTATCGTTGCCTTCTGTGGCCCCGCATTATCTGCCCTTCGTGGCCCCCGCTCGTTCGCGCTCTTCGTGGCCCCATACGCATTCCCTTCGTGTCCCTGCTGTCGCCCTTCGTGGCCTACTTCGTGTCCTTCGTGGCCCTGCTGTCTTTCTCTCTCGCTCTCGCTTTCGCTCGTCGTCGTCGTCGCCGTCGTCGTCGTCGTCGCCGTCGTCGTCGACGTCGTCGTCGCCGTCGTCGGTTTCGGTCCCCTGTCTGTTCCTCTTGGGGTCGGGTCGACGGTCCGCGACCGCCCCGCCGATCAGCGCTGCCGCTGGCCAGGCCGACGGTCCGCGGCCGCCCCGCCGCTTGCTGGGGCCCGGCCTGCAGGGAAGAACGGTATACCCCCCAAAACTGGTTCGATCGAAGACGAAGAGGGCGGGTATCAAGGGTTTGGGAAATACGCGTTCTTGGACACTCGAACAGATAAGGGCGGACCGTCTTACAATGATTGTTACTGTTGCTGTTGCTGTTGCTGTTGCTGTTGCTGTTGCTGTTGTTGTCGTTGTTGTTGTTTTTGTTTTTGTTTTTGTTGTTGTTGTTGTTGTTGTTGTTGTTGTTGTTGTTGTTGTTGTTGTTGTTGTTGTTGTTGAACATTATTACTTCTAAAGAATAATTATTGTTGGGGCCCCTGGTGCACGACCCCCCCGCCGCGCCTAGGCCGCAGCCTCATTTTCATCATTTTCGTGAGGAAGTCTCAGGCAAAACGGGTTGGTCCGGATCCGGTTGTGTTGTTACGATCGGTTTTCCCTTGCAAAAAATAAGCTAAAGTGAAAACATTTCTTGTTCTAATATAATCAAATTTCAAGAATCCCTTGCAACAAAATAAGGTAAAGTGGACATTCGCGCGCGCAAGACGAAATCCTTCCAAAACCTTAGTTTTCGTAGCGATTTTAACATAAAAACATCAAAAAACCAATGGTTTTTCAACAAAAAAATTGTCAAAATTCATCCCGCGCGCTCTTGCGGATTTGTAGGAAACCCAACACTTTTTAATCATTTCTGTCAAACGGGCTTTTGCGAGCAACTTTTTCGAACTTCTGCAACAACGGTTGCGCACCTGCCAGGGCCATCATCCCTGTCAAATAATACCATGCGGGACACATTCGTTTTTTCTTCGCGCGCGCACGCCGTCGTCGTCGGCCGCGGGGCCCTGAATAGTAGCCACGGTCGTCCGCATGCCACGAAGTGAAGTGTCCGAACGTCATAGGGCGGGAAGCTGGGTGTGGGTGGTGGCGAAGAGTCGTTTGGAAATTTGGTAGAGCTTGAACCGGCCCCCCCACAAAGTGGGGGTATTGCCCGCCTCCTATGAAAACCCTGGCACTGGTGAGAACGGTGTGTCCCCACGTGCTAGTAATTGTTGTTGTTGTTGTTGTTGTTGTTGTTGTTGTTGTTGTTGTTGTTGTTGTTGTTGTTGTTGTTGGTCAGGGGTCGATTTCGGCGGCGGGCCTTGGGGGAAGTGAGAAGGGGCGGGCCTTCTCGGAAGGCTGGAGTTTTCTAAAATTTCTCCGACGACACAGAAGACTTCTGGGTAGGCCAGAGGGCTTTTGAGAAGCCCCGCCGCCTTCCGAGAAGGCCTCCTCCTCATTTCCCCTCCCTCCCTCGCTCGCCGCCGACAAATATAAGGCGACGAGATCTATACAGATCTACTGGCCTGGGCCAGTGGATATTTATAGACCTCGTCATCCCGCAGGCTGTAGACTTGGCAGCGGAGAGGGGGAGGGCGAGAGAGGACCGGGCCTCCCCCGAAACGCCCCGGCCGCTCGAAACCTCGCGTTCTGTCACGCCCAGACTTTGGCGTCCAGAGGGTGAAGGTCGAGGGAAGTTCGGCAGCAGCTGGCGGCGGCGACGACGACGACTCGAGGGCCGTCAGCTGACCACCTCACCGATCTTGGCCGGGCCCATCCCGGGCCCCGGATCAGGGCATCCAGGCTCCCGGAGGGGGGGTCGGAGTGCGCGGGGTCGGAGGATCGCGCCGCATCGCCGATGCATCGCCGATGCGGCTCGATGCGGAGCCCGATTTTCGCCGCGCTGGCGTCGCCGATGCACCGCCGATGCATCGCCGATGCATCGCCGGTGCATCGCCGATGTGGCGCGATCCTCCCGCCCCATGTGCGCTCGGAGCCCATCCAGGAGGCCCCTTGTCCTGGGCCCAGGATGGGCGTGCACGCCTCCCTGATCAAACCCAGAGGGTGCGACAGGTCAAGACGCCGAGAGAAGGAGCAGCCTGAATTCCTCGCGCTTCGCGAATCTCCACAGGCCCGTTCGGGAAGGTTACCCATGAGAGCTGACGTGCAAAGGGACGAAGCGACACATCTTGTGGAACAAAGCGGGCGTCCAGGAGGCAAAGAGAGATCTTTGGGAGCAAGGGGGTGGCCTTGGAGGGTCTCTTCGGGCCATCCCTGGGACCCGCGGGGGGGCGAGGGGAGGGAGGAGGAGGAGGAGGAGGAGGAGGAGGAGGAGGAGGAGGAGGAGGAGGAGGAGGAGGAGGAGGAGGCAACCCGCCTCTTGGGGCCCTCGTGGGCGCTCTTGGGGCCGTCGTTGGGCCGTCTTGGGGCCCTCTTGGAGCTCTCTTTGGGGCCCTTGGGGCCCTCTTGGGGCCCTGTTGGGAGCCCTAGGTGGCCTGATGAGACCATCTTGGAGGCTGTTGATCAAAGGAGGAGGGGTCCTAAATTTGCCTCCCCTCTCTTGGGCCCTCAAGATCGCCTATAGGGGCCCTCTTGGGGCTCTCTTGGGGCGCTCTTTGTCGCTCTCGAGCCGTTTGATGGGCTTCTCTTGGGCCATCTTTGGTCAATCGCATCAGAAGCGAAAGGGCGAGAAGGTACACATCATGGAATCCCTTATGGTTTTGAGGGATTTGGGCGTCTTGGAGCCGTCTTGTGGCCCTTGGAGCGCTTGTAACCGTCTTGTGGTCCTCTTTGGGCCTCTTGGAGGCATGTTGGAAGCAATCTTCAGCCATCTTCGGCTATATTGAGCCATCTCGGAGGCTATCTTGGAGCATCGGACGTCCTGCAGGAGCCATCTTGGGCGAAGGACGATCCTCTGACACTTCGCGGACCCCCCAACAAAGACCTCGGAGGGGAGGGGGAGGGTACCCCTCCCCGAAGGGCAGAGGGTTTTGGAAGAGGAAAGACTGACATCGTTAGTCACCACCCACCAAACCACCCCAACCCATCCCAACCCGAAGGTTTCAATTGGCCCTCCATTTCCAGTGTGGGGGGGGGGTCGGAAACATCGAAAAAACACATATGGAGCCCATACCCCCCCATCCCGAAATTCGGGTCTTCGGGTTGGGTTGGGGTGGTCTAGTAGGTGGTCAGTTAGACCACCCGTGCCCAGAGGGCTGGTGGGATTCGAAAGGGGGCTCCTCTGGCGCGCCTCGCGCACCCAAGCGCTCCTTGGGGGCCCCACATAAAGGGGCCTCGTCTCTTGCTCGCCCTTCCGTGTGGTAGCGCAATGGGGCTCCCGCACCGATCCCCGCTGCATGATCTCGGCCCTTCTGCTCGCCCTCCTTCTCTCCTCCTCCTCCTCCTCCTCCTCCTCCTCCTCCTCCTCCTCCTCCTCGTCCTCCTCGTCCTCCTCCTCCTCCTATCCCTCTCCTCCGTTACCTCTCCTCCTCCTCCTCCTCCTCCTCCTCCTCCTCCTCCTCCCCCTCCCCAGTGCAGGTTCTCGGCCCTGCCAGCACCGGTGCGGGGGCATCGGCGAGGGTCCAGCGCCGGCGCCGCCCCGAAGCGACGACGACGGGCGTGCGCCCGCCGCCGCAGGAGGAGGAGGAGCGGAGCAGGCGGCAGGCGGAGGACGGCCGCGCAAGGACGGCAGCGCGGCTCCTCTTTTTTTTTTTGCCGCGCGCGGCCCGACGGGCGGGCCCCGCGGGGGGTCTCGCAGGTCGAGGGCGATGCAGCCGCGGGCGGAAGCCGGACGAGGCCGTCGTGGCTGCCTGCGAGCCGCGGCCGCGGGCCCCGGACCTCCCAGGCTGGAGGGAGAGTGGAGGTGGGAGGAGGAGGAGGGGAGGAGGAGAGAGGAGGAGGAGGAGGAGGAGGAGGAGGGAGGAGAGGAGGAGGAGGCGGAGGAGAGGAGGAGGAGGGGGGAGGGGGATGACCCTGGGCTTCCTCGCCGCCGCCGCTGCCACGGCCTCGGGTGCTGCCGACGTTCCCTCGAGCTCCGCCGCGCGGCAGGCGGCCGCCGCTGCGCGGCGCCCGCGCGCGCGGAGAGTGCGGAGGGGGGAGGCCGAGGGCCGGGCAAGCGGGCGCAGCGAAGGCCCTGCGCCAACTGGGCGGAGCGCTCCTCGATGGCGGGACCCGCCGTCGCGGAGCGCTGGGCCTCGCCGAGGGGCGGGCCCGAAGCGTCAACGACGACGACGACGGCGACGGCGACGGCGGGCCTAGTCGGGGCGGAGGGCGAGGTGGTCTCGCGGCCCTCCCTCGACTTCCGCCCCTCCGCAACTTGCCGCAGCGGCAGCGGCGGGTGCCCGCGCAGCGGCGGGCGCCGCCGCGCCCGCAGCGGCGGCCACCCGCCGCGGCGGGCGTCGCGGCGGCGGCCACGGCGGGCAACTGCCGCACGGAAGGCTGGGAGGGTTCTTTGGGAGGTCGAGACAGGGGCAACGAGGGAGAGAGTTTGGCTTACAGTGTAGGCCCATGCCAAGATACACCCTGCTTGCCTCCAGGGTGCCCTGGGTTTCTTGGGTTTCGATGGCTTTGCGATGGAAAGCGTGACGTTCCCACACCAAAAATCAAGGGACGCCCTGGGGTCCCAGGGTTGGGTTTCTTGTGGACTGGCCTCCACCTGTGGCGGGGGACGCATCGACCCCCAATCGCATCGCCGACACGGTCCCGAGAGCCCACCCCCGCCCAGGAGCGTGCGGCTTTGCCATCTGGAGCCGATCGCCGATCAATCGGCAATTCACCGCCGTTCCCCCCTAGGCCGCTGCCAGCCCCTCCTAGCGTTGCCCCTGAGCTCGGAGGGTTTTTTGGAGGCCGAGGGGGACCTCCAGGAGCCTGACGCCCTGGGCGGTGCCTCGGCGCTGACTGGTAAATGCCGCGCCCGGGCGCGCGCGGGAGCTGAGCCTCAGCGCCGGGGGCGAGGAGAGCGGAGGGGTAAAGGGAGGAGGAGGGGGGGAGAAGGCACAGTCAAGATGCCAGGTGCGGACCACTCTGGACCCGGGAGGGGCTCTGGTTTTCGGGCCGCTTTGTAGATTTCGGTCGGGGACGTCGGGTAACCTGTTCGTGGCTTCGCCTCGCCATGACCAGAAGAATCCCCTCGTTCCTTGTTCGGCGTTCAATCTGGCAGCGCGACGACTGCAGGGAGGCGCAGCGGGATGAGGAGGGGGCACCCGCCTCGTCTCGACGCCCTGGTCTGGCCATGAGGCTGGCCCAGGTCGAGTGGGGGGGTGGAGCAGGACGCCACGGCGGGGGCGCTCGGAGGAGGGGGACGGGAGAGAGGGGGGCGGAGGGGGAGCGAGGAGGAGGGGGGCGGGAGAGAGGGGGGCGGATGGGGGAGTGAGGAGGAGGATGCGGAGGAGGAGGAGAAGGAGAAGGAGGAGGAGGAGGAGAAGGAGGTGGAGGAGGTGGAGGAGGAGGAGGAGGAGGAGGAGGAGGAGGAGGAGGAGGAGGTTTATGAGAAGGATGAGGAGGAGGAGGAGGAGGTGGAGGTGGAGGAGGAGGTGGAGGAAGAGGTGGTGGAGGAGGATAAGGATGGGGATGAGGATGAGGATGATGATGCTGCTGCTGCTGCTGCTGCTGATGATCATCATGCTGACGAAACTGATGATGCTGCTGATGCTGATGCTGATTCCGATGATGATGATAATGATGATGTTGCTGCTGCTGCTGATGCTGCTGATGTTGATACTGCTGCGGATGATGATGATTATGATGCTGATGATGCTGGATATGATGATGTTGGTGGTGACGGTGATGACGATGAC